TGTATGAAAGGTCTATGTATGATTACGTGGACTGTGAGGAGCTTTTGGAAGGGATTGTGTACCCAAAGAGGCTGAATCGAAGAGGTGGTATCAACAATTGGTGCACAAGTACGCGAGCTCTGGTGTTGGGCCACTATACTCATGGCGGAGTGTGTGGTATTACAAAAGAGACTCATCGAAGACCATGGCTATGTCGTTATTTGGCATCATTCGTGAGGCACCACAATCCTGAAGCCAAATTTTCTGCTCTTCAGATCTCGTGCAATGCTCCGGTGTCATTGCATAGGGATAGTCACAATGAAAAGCATTGCTGCAATTATGTGTGTGGCTTTGGTGACTATAAAGATGGTCAGCTGTGGGTTGAGGATGAAAAGGTTTTAGAGGAAGGAGCTGAAGTGGTGGAGCAATCCTATGGGAAGAAAGTCTTACCTGGAAAATTGGTCGATATCCACTGGAACTTCATGTCGTTCTTTCCGAGAAAGCTGCACGGCCCTATGCCTTGGAAAGGGAACAGGGTATCCTTGACAGGGTACACACCTGTTTTTATGGAGCGTTTGAGCTACAAGGATAGGTGCTATCTTCTCCAATGCAAGTTTCCTCTTCCGGAACCACAAGCTGAAGAAGGTGAAAAAAGGAAATGGTTAAAAATGACGTTGAAAGAGACCTCGCTGGACGACCTTGCAGAGGAAGTCGACTACGCTGTGTTCGAAGCGCATCAATGGTCTCTAGAGGAGCATTTGAGTATTCGACGCCTAATTGCTGAACAGGAATGTTGCGTTTTGGACGAGTTCCATGGATCGGCCAATGAGTCGAATGGAGAAAAAGGATTAGAGACTAGAGAATGGCTGGTTAAAGCAAAAAGGGCTGAGGAACAGCTATCGAAGTTTTTGGTCAAATCAGCTCAAGTTCAGCAAATGGTACAAGAAAATACCGCGCTTGAGGCAGCAGAGGAGGTTGAGTTCCTGCAAACAAAAACAATCCCTACACAAGAAGCCATGCAAGAGCTGGAAAAGTGGAGGGAATCATTGTCGGACGCGGTGACGTCTTTGGTGAAAGAGTTGGAGGTGGTGGAACCAACAACTCAAGAAAAGCTGGACAAATTGGCGGAAGAGCCTAATGCACCGGTGATTGAGTACGTTCCCAGTCTGGTGGTGTTTACCCGGAAGCAAGGGACAGGGAGGCGACGTGCCCGTATCTGTGCATGTGGAAACTTTATTTCGTCAACGGCAGCTACAGAATATGAAGGGCCGAGGTCCCTCAGTCGTCACTCGCTGTGCGCTCCTGGTTTAGATTCAACTACATTTAGGTGTCAAGTGAGGCACGCGGCATGTATGGTGTGGATCATCGCTGGCTTAGACATTTCCAAAGCTTTTCTGACGGCGCCGATGAATAGGGCGCAAAGAGAAGGGCGTTTGGTGGTGGTGCAGCCCCCAAGGGCGGCGGTGAAATTGGGTCTTTGCACAAAAGAGGAGCGGTGGATTGTGAGGAAGGCCTTGTACGGTTTGGCCGAAAGTCCTGCAGCATGGGTGGAGTGGCGAGACCAACGTCTTCAAGGGATGTCTTGGGTGTCAAAGGATGGACAAGCAATGAGCTTTCAGAGGTCCAATGCAGACCCAAGTCTGTTCCTTATTACGGCACAAGAGAAGCCGGAAGGTGCAAGCAAGTTGGTAGGGACAATGGGTCTTTACGTGGATGATTTTTTGATGGCTGGGACTATGACAGTGCTCCGGGAGGCCTTGGAACAGATCAGGAAGGAGTGGAAAACTTCTGAACCCGAGTTCTGTGGTCCAGGCTGTGGTGATGGATTCTTGAAGTTTTTGGGTGTCCAAATCTGGTATCGAAATGGCAGCTTCTTTCTCAACCAGGAGGACTTCGTGAGAGATTTGCTGAACCGAAGAGGGTATCAGATTGATGAAACTGGAAAAGGTAGTAACCTGCCAATGGTGAAAGAAACTCCAGGTGAAGAAGAGGAGGTGGATATTCCTTCCTTGCGAGCGGCTCAAGGTGCCGTAGGGGAGTTCCTCTGGGTGGCAATCAAAACTCGACCTGATTTGGCTTTCTGCGCAAGCCAGTTGTCTTTGTGGACATCCCGAAGGCCGCGATTTGTGGTTAAAAAGGCTGAGGAGGTATTTCGATACCTTGCTGCAACTCCAACGTTAGGCCTGACGTTTGGAGCAATCGCAACATGCGAAAAAGAAAGGAATGAGGTGTGCGTTATGGGCGAGGCGTCAAGGTGGTGGAGTCCTACGCGGATGCTAGCTTTGCAGCAGGTGAAAACGAAAAGAGCCACTCAGGAGCGGTGGTGGTTTGGGGTGATTGTCCAGTGATGTGGGCATTGCAGAGACAATCAACGGTGGCTTTAAGTACTGCTGAAGCTGAGTTGCATGCGTCTATAGAGGGAGCAACGATGATTCAGTCGTGCACCCCTATAATTGCCGCTTTGGTTGGAACGGGTGAAGAATCGCTGCAAAAAGTGCTGTATACAGATTCGGTTTCGACGTGCTCGATCATTCAATATCCTGCTGGAAGCTGGAGGACAAGACACCTGAGAATTCGAGCAGCCGGTGTCAGGTCTCTGGTGGACCGTGGTTACATGGTGATAGCGCATCTTCGCGGTGAGTATATGATCGCTGACCTGTTGACAAAATTGATGAGTGGACAGGTGTATGCAAAGCAAAAGGCACTTTGGGGTCTCCAACTGCTGGTGCAAGGAACTGACTTGAAAAGGGCCTCGCTTGCAATGGCGGTCATGATGGTGGCTGCATCTCTGCAAGGGATGGCAACTGGTGGAGAAGAAGTGTCAAATGCTGGTTTCTTCTGCTCAGAAGAAGGGGTGTGCAAGGTCGCCAACACATCTACGGTTATGGTTCTGGCTCAAGGTATTGAAATGGTTATCAACAATTCAGACCTTGTTGCGTATTTGGTGGCAGCAATTATACTCTGGGAATTGGCATGGTGCCTCTTTCGGCGGCTGTATAAATGGCTGTGGATCAAGAAAGTGGTGGTTATTCCTGCGAGTGCCACTTTGTATACAACAGTGGGTGGGAACTGTATGCACGCAAGCAGTGACTGTGATGTTCTGCGATATTCACAGCCCAGGGCTAAGACGCTTTGTAAGCATTGCCTCAAGGATGGCTGGGTGGTGAATGCTGAGTTCCTTGGTGGGGCACGGGCCGCTGGAACGTAAACCTTTTCAAGTGCGAGGTGAAGAAATCCTCAATGGTAAGGGATTCGGCCAATGAGCTGAAGGTTCGTCCTGGATGACGTAAAACCATAATGTGCATTTCAAGCAGCTGGCTGCTGCCTAAATGGCGGTTCTTGGCCAAAGATCTGCACCTCCAATGTGTCCTAGGAAATCCTAGGACAGGGGGAGTGCGGAGCTGCAGTTGGTATTGTAGAAAGGAGTTGGTGTTGAAAGTTGAAGGGTCAATGCACCCGGTAATCTTATTGGCTCAAGACTGGGCCATGCGCCTGGTAGCAAAAAGAAGTTTTGAGTTCTTGGTGTTTGCTGGTTGGTTCAGGGTGAAACCTCTGGCGACTGTTTGGGTTGATTCCCTTCCCCTTTCGGCTGCCCCCGTATAGGGTTTAGGGTTTAGGGTTTAGGGTTTAGGTCTAGGGTTTCGGGTTTCAGTTTAGGGGGCTATTGGGGTTTTGGAGTGGCTAGGGAGGTTTCATGGGGTTTGTTACAACCACACAATCCGTAGTAGTAATCAAAAGCCATGCAAGGGGAGCAGTCCTTTCTGTGTAGGTTTATGGGGCTCAGCCGGGTGTAGGGAGGGGTTTTTGTCGGGCTTAGAGTCGGCTTCGGGAGTTTTGTGGCTTTGTGATTGTTCAGGCTTCGGAAGCCTTATTGGGAGGTTTTGGGGTTGGGCTAAACCCTAAACCCTAAACCCTAAACCCTAAACCCTAAACCCTAAACCCTAAACCCTAAACCCTAAACCCTAAACCCTAAACCCTAAACCCCAAAATTTGGGAGGCCTTTGGAGGTTAGGATGAGTGGTTTAATTCACGGCTCGGCCTTCGAGGTTGATGTGGCTTGAGGTGCTTTCAGGCTTGGGGGGAAGGATGGTGCTTCGGTTTAGGGTTTAGGGTTTAGGGGTTTAGGGGGTTCAGAGGTTCAGGGGTTCAGGGGTTTAGGGGTTTAGGGGTTTAGGGGTTTAGGGGTTTAGGGGTTTAGGGGTTTAGGGGTTTAGGGGTTTAGGGGTTTAGGGGTTTAGGGGTTTAGGGGTTTAGGGGTTTAGGGGTTTAGGGGTTTAGGGGTTTAGGGGTCTAGGGGTCTAGGGGTTTAGGGGTTTAGGGGTTTAGGGGTTTAGGGGTTTAGGGGTTTAGGGGTTTAGGGGTTTAGGGGTTTAGGGGCCTTAGGTTGACTTCTTCAGTCATCTTGCGCGGCCCCATTTTTGCAGGCCATTTGGCTGGGTTGCAGTGCCATACGCACGCCTGAAGAACCCAGAGCCATCCTTTTCTGTAGCTGACGAAGCCCTAAACCCTAAACCCTCAACCCTAAACCCTAAATCCGAAAAAAAACTCAAAGCCTTTCAGGTTGGAACCATGCGCCCGTAGTCTGGTCCCTTACCCTTGTTTAAAGGGCCTGGTATATAATAAAAGGGGACCCAAATCAAGGGCCTATACTTCGGATCCCAAACATAACCAGCCCTAAACTCTCCGCACTCTCATCTGCGGACTAATGCAAGCATGGGCATGGTCAGGGTTTCCTCTACACCGAACGCAAGAAACTTCCGTAAACCCCTTCAACCCCCTTCAACCCCTAACCCCGTGTGGTGATTTCTCTAAATTGTGGCCCCTGCTGAGGGGATCCTTACTATCAGGCGGCCCCTATTCTTCAGAGTACCAAAAAAGGGGACCATAACGTTGAGAACCGGCCATGTAGAATAGAACCTAAGAGCTGCTCAAGCAACCCTAAACCCTAAACTCTGAACCCTAAACCCTAAACCCTAAACCCTAAACCCTAAACCCTAAACCCTAAACCCTAAACCGCCCGCCTCACGCTGTTGATCTTGCCGCTGGTGGGCTTGAAGCCCTCGTCCGGATTCTCGGCCGTGATGCGGGAGGCGCAGCAGTGCTGGCGGGCGAAAGCGGCTGAGGGTTTAGGGTTTAGGGTTTAGGGTTTAGGGTTTAGGGTTTAGGGCTTAGGTTTAGGGTTTAGGGTTTAGGGTTTAGGGTTTAGGGTTTAGGGTTTAGGGTTTAGGGTTGAGGCTTTGGGGTAATTGTGGCGGCTGCCTTTGTTAAGCGAGACGTGCCGTTTTAAGGGGCCTTTCTTTATGAAACGCTTAGAGGCTTCTAAGGTAACCCAAACTCTTAAACCCTAAAATCTAAAAAAGCAGCCCTTGAACCCCAAACCCTTCACCAAAACAACGCATAAACGTATAAACATGAGCTCCAGGCCATCCCCTTGGCCAAAGCCGAAAGACCAGCGAGAGTTTGTAAGCTTTCGGATGACTTGGTGCCTCCTTGCAACACTTCGGTAGGGAGTTTCTGGGTTTAGGGTTATTAGGGTGTAGGGGCACTCCGAGCGCCCCCTACAGCCTAAACTGAGCCAAAACTCACGCTGAACCGAACCACAAAGTGTATCAAAACCCTACACCCTGAACCTAGACCCCCAACCTGATTCTAGGCCTCCGATAGCAAAGTCATCTTCAAACCCTAAACCCTAAACCCTAAACCCTAAACCCTAAACCCTAAACCCTAAACCCTAAACCCTAAGCCTAAACCCTAAACCCTCAATTTTAAGCAGGATGGGGTGCACCGTGGTAATGGGCGGGTAGTCGACGGCGAAGAAGTCGATCTTGGAGCACTCGGACCTCAAAGCCGAGACTTCTGGCTTACGGTTTCGGTTTAGGGTTTAGGGTTTAGGGTTTAGGGTTTAGGGTTTAGGGTTTAGGGTTTAGGGTTTAGGGTTTAGGGTTTAGGGTTTAGGGTGTAGGGTGTAGGGTGTAGGGTTTAGGGTAGTTTAGGGTAGTTTAGGGTTCAGGGTTTGGGGTTTAGGGTTTAGGGTTTAGGGTTTAGGGCTGGTTAGGGATTATCATTGGAGGGTATAGGGATTAGGGGCTTCAGGATTTGTAGGGTGTGGGGTTAAGGGCCTTAGGCTTAGGATTTTAGGTTCAGCTGAAGACATACCCCCGAAGCATCAGACCCCCAGACACAGAATAGTTCTAACCAGCCCTAAGCCCTAAACCCACTGAACCCGAAGCACAGGAACACCTGAAGCCTAAAGCCTGCAGGGCCTACAGGAGGTTAGGGTGTCGGGCTTAAGGTAGTTCAGGGCCTGCGAAAGCCCCAACCCCTCCCATGCGGCCCGATCATGAACCCCTTCGGCCCTTCACCCTACACCCTAACACCAAACCCCAAACCCTAAACCCTTTCCACTTATACACCCTATAAACCCTATACACCCTATAAACCCTATAAACCCTATAAACCCTATCAACCCTATAAATCCCATAATCCTAGTCCCTAAACCCTAAACCCTAAAGCCCAAACCCTAAACCCTAAACCCTACGTACCTACCCTGGCTCAGGAGCCAGCGGGTCGTAGCCGTAGAACCTGCCGCAGGCAGTTGGGCTCTGGATTTGAGATTTAGGGCTCAGGGTTTGCAGGGCTTAGGGTTTGGGGTTTAGGGTTTAGGGTTGAGGGCGTAGGGTTTGTAGGGCGTATAGGGTTCAGGGCTTCAGGGTTTATGATTTCGGTTCTAGGGGTTAAGGCTTACAAGGCTGCGCGAAACAGGTCCTACAGCACACCCAGTCCTCCGGATGTCCGGAATGTTGTGGAGCGCAATGCCCTGGCGCCGAACAAGAGGGTTTAGGGTCTATAGGGTTTAGGGTTTTCGGGTTTTCGGGTTTTAGGGTTTTAGGGTTTAGGGCTTAGGGCTTCCAGGGGCAGAGCCAGGATTGAGGGTTGTGGGTTGTGCGCTGAGTGCTGTTTAGGGTTTAGGGTTTATAGGGTTTATAGGGTTTATAGGGTTTATAGGGCTTATAGGGCTTATAGGGCTTATAGGGCTTATAGGGTTTATAGGGTTTATAGGGTTTATAGGGTATATAGGGTTTATAGGGTTTATAGGGTTTATAGGGTTTATAGGGTTTATAGGGTTTATAGGGTTTAGGGTTAGCTCAGGTGGGGTCCCGGTTCAGGGATGTGGGGCCAGTGTAGGGTTACAGGGTTATCGGGCTATGAGGTTTCAGGGTCACAGGGTTGATCGGGTTTCGAAACCAGTCTATAGGCTTTTCATCTTTAAGGTCATGGGGTTTAAGGCTTTTTGATTTGTGTTGAAGAAATGGGCTCGCGTTTGGGGCTTAGGCTCGGGAGCTATTTTTTTCTACTACAGCGGCCTCAACAATTCGAATAGGTTCTCATAGTACAGGTATATAGAGACTCCAACCCCTACATTCTTCGTTTTTGTGCTTGAGATAATCAGCCGATAAGGGAGTGGCAAAGACGGCTTCGGTGACAATGGCGGCCCCCTCCCCCCCCACCCCCCAAGCCATACCCCTAAACCCTAAACCCTAAACCCTAAACCCTAAACCTTAAACTCGAAACCCTTAAACAATCTGCAGTTCTGGTCCCTAAACCCTAAACCTTAAACTCGAAACCCTTAAACAATCTGCAGTTCCGGTCAGAAGGTCTGAAATCAGGCCATCTCAGCTCACAGACCAGACCTCCCACCAAAAGACCAAAAGAACACACAGGAGAATGACAGTACAGGGCTTAGGGTTTCGGGTCTAGGGTTTCGGGTTACTAAAGAAGAAGAACAGTACATTAATACGACGACGACGACGACGACGACGACGACGACGACGACGACTTCTGCCTCTAAAATGCTTAGACACACACACACACACACCTACCTCAACTCCGACTCAACAAACCGCCGCCTCGTCCCTTCAAGGAACTCCTTCGAGATTGATGACCGACAAACTGTCACCCGCCTCCTAGTCCCCTTAAACCCTATCGATCCTAGATGGCCTACAAGCCCTGAAGCCCCAACCCCCCCCCCCCCTCCCAGCCCCAAGAAAACACAAAAAACAAAAACACACACCCACACATTCACGCTACCATTTTCCTAAACAAACGACAAACCCTACAACAAATTGCCAACAGACTCATGAGGCGTATGAAGACACTCAAAGAACAGGAGCACTTCAACCTTCTGCCGAAGCTTCCGAGCCCCGCGACTCAACAACCGTGGGGGCAGGGCCATGGCAATCTGGAGCTGCGTCGCTGGCATGTTCACGCCCGTGATGGACTGTGCGGAGAAGGCGGGGTTTAGGCTTTAGGGTTTAGGGTTTAGGGCTACTAGGATGGCCCTCAAAACCCTCTGAAAAAACACGCTCCTGAACATGATCCTCCTAAGCCCCATAAGGGAAACTATAAACCTATCCCAAGGGCCGACCTAGTTTCGGCTTCGGGGTGTCATTCAACCCTACGCCCTACAAATGGTATAAAACCCGGGATATGTCTGAACCCTGGAAACTTAACCCTACACCCTGTAAATGGCATAAACCCTAGACATAAACCCTGAATCATAATGAAAAAATCAACCCCAAACACCAGAAACGGTATACACTGTACTTAAACTGAACCAAAATCCCTGTAACTGGTATGAACCCTAGCCACGAACACTAAACCCTAAAAAGCTTCACCGCACCCCATAACTGGTACAAACCCTAGACATGAACACTAAAACCCGAAAAAACTCTACCCTAAACCCCATGGATGGTAGAAACCCTAGACGAACCCTAAACCCTAAACCCTCAAACGGTATAAACCCTGGACATGAACCCGAAAAAACTTGAGCCTCAACCCTACTAAACCTACACAAGGCACTTAACCCTAAGGCTGAAACCCTAAAGCGCTCGCATAACCGGGTTTAGGTTTAGGGTTTAGGGTTTAGGGTTTAGGGTTTAGGGTTTAGGGTTTAGGGCAGACCCTGGCTTGGTGGTGTTGAGACTCTGGGCAGAGGAACCATGACGTGCTAGGAAGGAACTGGGTTTAGGGTTTAGGGTTTAGGGTTTAGGGTTTGAGGTTTAGGGTTTAGGGTTTGGGGTTTGGGGTTTGGGGTTTGGGGTTGGGGTTTGGGGTTTGGGGTTTGGGGTTTAGGGTTTAGGGTTTAGGGTTTAGAGTTGAGGGTTTGCCAGGTAAAAAGTACTGAACTACGGGCTACAGGTGGTGGGATGCGACTGGTGAGCTTCACTTGGCAGATTTGACCGGTACTTCAACTCAGTATCGCCTAGAAACCCTGTAATCATGCTCATAACGGGTTTAGGGTTTAGGGTTTAGGATTTCGGGCTTAGGCTTTGGGTTACAAGGTTATAACTAGGGTTAGGCTTTTTTGGAGGGTTGGAGGCGTAACCCTAAGTCCTATAAGTCCAGCTGACCCAAAACCAACCTGTTAGAAGGAAGTAGCTGCCGGCGTAGTGCAACGCGTCGGCAAGCGTTTTCATGTAGCTTCGGTGAGTCTACCGGACCCTGTCAGTGCGGTCGGAGCCGTCGATGCGTGTCACCTCGTCCTTCCCTAGAACCTCAGCGGGGTCGCGCACAGAGCAGGCGTGGCCGTCGCTTCCGATGCCACAATGCTCTGGCTGCAGAAGCTTGTGGAGCCGATTGACTCGCCTACGCTGCTGTCGCTGGCTCGACGCCCTGCGTGGCGTATCCGCAGTCCCTCCAGCTCAAGAATGCCCGAATGAAGCTCAACATGCCGATGCCGAGCCCGTCGTCGCCGACGTGGACGATGCCCAGGTCTTCGAGGAGTATCTACTTACTACGTCAAAAGGGCTTCCAAGCGCCCTAAACCCGAAACCCGAAATCCGAAATCCGAAACACGAAGCCCGAAACCCTAAACCCTAACAGCCCGTAACGAGCCCTTTACGCTTCCAAGTAGGAGGTATGGGGCTTTGGGGCAATGAACGTTTGCAGCTCCTATGTTTCGGCTGCAGACCCCGGCCTGCATAACCCCTGTGTCACAATCCCCTTGTAACATCAGCCTAACCCTAAAGGTTCAGGGTTTAGGGTTTAGGCCCACTCTAAACCCTAAACCCTAAACCCTAAACCCGAAACTTAAACCGCTAAACTTTCATTGCCATCAGTACGCGGCCGCCGCATTATCATGGGATGCCCCCAACCCCTAAACCATAAACCGATTCGAGGCACCCTACCCAAGAAACCCTTAAACCCTAAACCCTAAACCCTAAACCCTAAACCCGAACCCTACGATGTTCCCTTCAGGGGCCCAGGATGCGCGTGCCTCAGTGACAGGGTGCTCCACCTCACCAAGTTCCAAGCTTACTGGGCTTTCCCCAGGGCAAGAGAGGCCAGGGGTCAGGGTTTAGGGTTTAGGGTTTGTGGCGTAGCTTCAGGGGTTAGGGTTTCGGGCTTAGGGTTTAAGGTTTGTGCTTTATTAAAGTTTAGGGCTTCAGGGTTCAGGCTTGCTTTTGGTATCATTCAAACCCGAAGCCTTCAACCCTAAACCCTAAACCCTAACCTAAACCCTAAACCCTTAAAAACATTGCGGGATACAGGGGGAGTTTGTTGCCTGGGCTCTTCTGGGGTTCTTGAGTTCAGGGCTAGGACCCTAAACCCTAAACCCTAAACCCTAAACCCTCTACCCTAAACCCTAAACCCTAAACCTAGGGTTTAGGGTTTAGGGTTTAGGGTTTAAGGTTTAGGGTTTAGGGTTTAGGGTTCAGGGGTTCAGCGTCTATAAGGCTTAGCACATACGTGCGAGCCACAACTGCACGCAACTAAACACTGCCCTGTGAGCAGACGGGATGTCGTGTCGAGCTCCACGGCCGCCCAAAATAATGGTTGGCATGGGCGTGGTTGTGCGCCCGTGAATCGGTGACGCATTTCCCATCAAGCCCGTGGCATGCAGCTCGAGCCACTTCGCCAAGTCGACGTCTCTCGCGAGCTCCGCCTCGTCGGCCTCCACCCTAAACCCTAAAAGCCCCTATAAACCCTAAAGACCCTATAAACCTTACAAACCATTAAAGACCCTATAAACCCCAAAAACCCTATAAGCCCTATAAGGCCTACAAGCCCTACAAACCCTATAAACCCTACAAACCCTGCAGACCCTTAACTCTAGAAAACACTCGTAGGGTTTAGGGGTCTGGGAAACAGGGCTTATGAAACCAGAGACGTGAAACCATAGAGGCTTAAATCCTGAAGCCCTAAAACCCTGAAACCTTAACCCCTAAACCCTGAAAACAAAATCTTAAGGTTTCTAAATCCCAAACCCTAATCCCTAAACCCCTACACCCTAATTATACCTTAAACCCAAGAACCTCAAACCTTAAAACCCTAGAGCCCAAAATCTTACTGGCCCAAAACCAAAGGAAATGAAAGTTGAAACTTTCAGAATAACTACCTTACAAGAAGCCCAAAAGTTGAAAAGTTGGGTTTTGAGCCAGGAAGAAATGGCCTTGCCTGAAGTCGGGGGTTCAGCTCCAAGAAGCAGAACGTGTGCGTCTCAGGGCCTGGGTTTAAGCTTCTTTCGGTTTAGCGTTCAAATTATAAGGATTAAGGGAATTAGTGCTTTAGGGTGTTTAGGGTTTAAGGGTTTTAGGGTTTGTGGGTTTTGGGAGCTTCAGGGTTTTAGGGTTGAGAGTGGGGGTTCGGGCGGGTTAGGTATGAACGCGCTGAGGGTCTAGAGACAGTTTTTGAGAAGGGCCACCGTTCTCAACCCCTAAACCCTAAACCCTAAACCCTAGCCCTAAACCCTAAACCCTAAACCCCAAACTCTAAGCCCTACACCACCGGGTAAGCAAGCACACAGGAGCTCTCCTAGATGTAAGGCTTGTGGGCTGCAGTTGAAGGCTTTTTTGCGTTGGGGTTTCGGGTTCTAGCGTTTAGGGATTTCGGGATTTAGGGTTTCTTACTGCTGAAATGACCAAGGAATACAAGGTTAAACTTTACTAGTCCTACGAAATAAGGAAACCCAGAAGGTTTAAAGTTCTACTACTGGGTATGCAAGGTTTAAGGGATGTAGGGATTTAGGAGGAGCTCATAAGGGCACTTGAGGCATTTTGGCTTGAGCCTTTTCCGCAGACCGGAAACAACACTGGCATCCCTCAAGACGCCAACGAAAGCCCCAGACGCCAACCTAAGCCCCAGACATCTAAACCCTATCTCCCAAGAGGCGAACTGCCCCAAGCCCAAAACCTGAAGTCCTCATGCGCAAGATAATATAAGCCCTATAAGCCCGATGATGCCCTCAAGCCCCATTTAAGAAACCCAACGTACCAACAAAACTCCCGAAACCAGGGTTTGTAGTTTAGGGTTTGCCCAAAAGAAGGACCAGAATTCGAGATCAATCCCCCAAGGGGCTCGCAAGGAATGGCCTGAGCTAAACCCTAAACCCTGAACCCGAAACGTAGGGTGACCTCTGTATCGCCAAGCCAGTGGCTGACTCAGGGCTTAGGGTTTAGGATGTGTCAACGGGGGCTCAGAACATAGACCCCCCTTGCAACAAAAGGTCGCCCCCCCCCCCCCCTCCGCTCCTGAGAAAAACAAGAAAGAGGTACAGTAAACAACCGTTTGGGGTTAACAAGCAAGCCTAACTCTAGCAACAGCGAGCATGCTCCCCCTAAACCCGAAACCCTAAACCCTAAACCCCAAGTGCAGGCTGCGAGGCTGTACAGGTACTCGACCGTTCCTGCACCTGAACCCAGTCCAGGCCAGGCATAGGTGAGATAGTAACGCCGGATTAAACCGCCCTCATCAGATTGTCCTAAACGCTAAGCCCTAAAACCTCAACCCCAAACCTTATAAACCTGGCGTCGAGATCCCATGGGATGTCAAAATGGGAATAGAGGGCCCCAGGTTTAGAGTTTAGGGCTTAGGGTTTAGGGTGTAGGGTTTATGGCACAGGGCCCGTAAGCCCTCAACCCTGAACCCTAGTTAAGCCCAAGCTTCAATCACAAGAGGATTTAGGGTCGAGGGTTTCAAGGGCTTAAGGAAACCCTACCTCAACCCTAAACCCGAAACAGCTAAACCCTAAACCCGAAACCCTAAAGCGGAAACCCTAAACCCTGAACCCTAAACCCCAAACCCTAAACCCTAAACCTCAACCTGCGGAGGGGACCTCGATAGCCCACCAAGGCGGTCAGGCGCATGGCCGCACGCTCCATTTCGTGGAACCTCGTTGCTAGACCCACCACTTAGAGGGCTTGGGTGTAGGGTTTAGGGTTTAGGGTCTAGGGTCTAGGGTTTAGGGTTTAGGGTTTAGGGTTTAGGGTTTGGGGTTTGGGGTTCAGGGTTAGGGTTTAGGGTTGAGGGTTGATAGGGTTTAGGGTTGATAGGGTTTAGGGTGATATGGTTTAGGGTACAGGGTTGATAGGGTTTGGGGTTTAGGGGCATTGACAGCTTTCAGGGACCTGGTTGCTTGGGCGAGTTGTCGGGCCTCTAGGGTAAGGGAACCAATGGTTAGCCTTTGGGACTACGCATACCCTGAACCCTAAAAACTAAAAACCCTAAACCCTAAACCCTAAACCCTGACAAGCTTGGCAGCCTGGGAAGGCCGTGGCCTCACCAGCCGCCCTTAGGGTCCCCGGCACTTCGGGCCTGGCAATCACCGGAGGCCCCTCCTCGAAAATCTTCCTCGGCCGCGTCTCTGCTTGCACTTGCCGGGTTTAGGGTTTAGGGTCTAGGGTTTAGGGTCTAGGAGTAGTGTTAAGAAAGGTCCTAAGTACCCCCCCCCCCCCCACCCAACTGCTTTTCATAACCCCCACCCCCCCTCCCTGGCTACCTCGACGCATGAACTGCCGAGTAGCAACCTTACCCCAAACAGTGAACAATCTTGGCCGTCTGATGTGCTAAGGGTGCAGGGTCTAAGACTTGTTTTGAGATCTTTGGCGGCGGGGGGGGGGGGGGGGGGGGGGGGGGGCTGTGCATTGGGATGCATTGGGTTCTCGGGGTGGGGTTCCTAAGAAAATGGGTTCAGGGTTTAGGGTCTAGGGTTTAGGGTTTAGGGCTTAGGGCTTAGGGTTTAGGGTTTAGCCTGAACCCGCACCCGGGGGTGCTTGTCATGGAACAGAAGCCGTACGGTCGTAAGAGAAACCGGTTCCCACGTCTTCCGGCTCTCTCTAAGGGTAGTTACATGGTCTCTTCGTATGGGCCCGTACTTGGGGAAGCTACATAGCCCTTGTGTACCGAAGAAAAGCCTCCAAGAAAACCCAAGGGCCCATACTTCAGAACCCTGTAAAGAAGGTAAGGGGCTAACCCTAAACCCTACACCCTAAACCCTAAACCCTATACTAAGAGGTCATGAAACTTCCCCCTAGACTCTCATCTTGCCGGTAGCTCGGTTGTGCGGAAAGGTCTCTGAAATCTGCGCTGTGTCGAGCAGTCGCGACCATTCAACGCCAGGGTGTTGCCGTACCTGCTGTCACGCGTTCTCTTATCAGTTCTGAGTAGCGACTAAGGAACTTATGCAATTATGTACACTTGTATCCCCCTACATAACCCTTGTCAGGGATTCTCTGACTCACTCTTAGTCGGGAGTGTATGGCCGTTTTTTCAGGCACCTTATTGGGTCAGCCTAATAAACCCTAAACCCTAAACCCTAAACCCTCAACCCCTGAATCCTTAAATGCCCCCACCCTGCCCACCCAAGCCCCCTGCCCCTCTGCCAGGAGGTCACCCCCCAGGCACGTCTGCCCACCCCAGCATTCGGGAAAACCCCAAAATCTTGAACCCATAGAGCTCCGGCTTGAGCGGTTGAGGGTTCGCCGTCGGATCGCAGAAGAGAAAGAGAGAGAGAGAGAGAGAGAGAGAGGGAGAGGGGGAGAGAGAGATAGAGATGAAAGAGAGAGAGAGAGAGAAGGAAAGACAGAGAGAGAGAGAGAGGCAGAAAAAGCGAAGAAAGGCAATCAATACGCATATGCATACATATATATACATACAGAGAGAGAGAGAGAGCGAGAGAGCCAGCGTGACTGACGCGTCTCCGCTGTCTAAAGCATATCTGCAACGTGTGGACCCAGAATTCTTCAACTTAGCTGTCCAGTAACCTAGGGGGATTAAAGGTTAACCTTTGGGATTATAAGGGGATTATACTACCCCAAAAAGGCTAAAGGTTACCTACTCTTCTACTAGGTCAATAGTCTGTGAGGATGATTCGTTTTAGTTACCGAAGTCCAAGGCAATGATTCTGAGCATCATGTCAACCCTAGACCCTAAACCCTAAACCCTAAACCCTAACCCTAAACCCTAAACCCCAAACCCTAACCCTAACCCCCCCCCCCCCCCCGACCCCGATGGAGGCGCACTCGTCACCCAGAATCTGGATTTCAAGGTGGCGTGCCTTCGAGACCATCTGCCTGCCAAAGTTTGAGGTTCTGGGGCCCCAAATTTGCGCCCTTCGTTAGGGTTTAGGGTTTAGGGTTTAGGGTTCAGGGTTTAGGGTTTAGGGTTTAGGGCTTAGGGTTTACGGTTTAGGGTTTTGGGGGCTAATCAGGGCCCTGAGAAGGGATTCTAGGGTTCTAGGTGTGGGCCCTCAATTTCAGTCCCTTGTGACCCTTCTATACACTATACATGGTTTAGGGTTTAGGGTTTAGGGTTTAGGGTTTAGGGTTTAGGGTAAACCTAAACCCGGGACTAACCTAGGAGTAAAAAGTGTGCCCTTTTTGGTCTTAAGGGATTATAAGGGAACCCCAACCCTAACAAAAGGAAAAAAGGGCCTACTCCCAGTCCCAGTACATAATAAAGGCCCATACTTCAACTAGGGGTCAGGGACCGTACTAAACCCTAAACCCTAAACCCTAAACCCTAAACCCTAAACCCTAAACCCTACTAAGTGCCCATGGGTCCGACCTGAGAGGGAGAGAGGCCTCAAAAGGCTTCATGGGGTTCAAGGTCTAAAGGGTTTGGGGGTCGAGGCTTCGGACTTTGGAATTTAGGGTTTGGGGTTTAGGTTCAATTTTCAGAAAATCCAGGCTTCGGGAAAAACCGAAAAAACCCTAAACCCTAAACCCTAAACCCTAAACCCTAAACCCTAAACCCTAAACCCTAAACCCTAAACGAAGCCGGGCGGTGCACGGGCGGCCGACTCAAAAACAAAAACAAGCCCGAGGTGCATAAGGAAGATCGGAGAGCCAGGGACCTGGCAGGGCATCAGCCAGTGGGTGCTTTATGGGTCCTTACGTAGGGTTTAGGGTTTAGGGTTTAGGGTTTAGGGTTTAGGGTTTAGGGTTTAGGGTTTAGGGTTTAGGGTTTAGGGTCTAGGGTCTAGGGTTTAGGGTTTACTGGTCCTTACGTAGGGACTGAGGGAACTCGGTACCTTATATCCCGGTTTAGGGTTTAGGGTTTGGGGTTTGGGGTTTGGGGTTTGGGGTTTGGGGCTTATGGTGAAGGGTTCTTTATAGGGTATATACCTACTTCCCTCATTCCCTACGAAGAACCAGCAAGTTGAGGGTTGGTTTATAGTGGTCAAGGTTCAGAAGACCACAGGAGTGTGTCACTTGCAAGGTTGATGGATGTTTTTAGGGGTTAGGCGCGGAGCGCAGGAACATCGACCTCGGCTGACACAGTCCCTATTAACCCTACCTGGACGCCCAAAGTGTGCAAAAAACAAAGACCAAAAACCTATGGGCCAGTCTTTTGCAACTGTTTTTTGGGGTGTTTAGGTAAACCCTAAACCTGCTTGGGGAACAAACAACACAGGGTTAACGCAACCAAGTCTCCAAAGCCGCAACATTACTTGGCGGTTTACGAAAACAGGGGAACCCCCAATGTCGATCCCCGAATAATAGGATCCCTTTAGAATGCGGACAACAGTAAGGTGCCCGCATGATTTCAGAAACCCCCAAACCCGAAACCCGAAACCCGAAACCCTAAACCCTGAACCCTGAACCCTAAACCCCATACTTCGGAAACCCCCACTTTAAGCCAGGCAAAAAAAAAAAGACAGGCGGCCTCCGTGGCAACGTTGGTGAAGGCCACCTTCAGCTCCTGATCCCATGGGGATTAGGGTTTAGGGTTTAGGGTTTGGGGTTAGGGTTTGGGGTTTAGGGGTTAGGGTTTAGGGTTTGGGGTTTAGGGTTCAGGGTTTAAGTTTAGGGTGTAGGAATATGTTTAACCCTCAACCTCAAACCCGGACTCGATAGCTAGAACTCAGATGCCTCAGACAGTCACACCCTTCACGTCAATTTCACATTTAGGGTTTAGGGTTTAGTTTAGAGTTTAGAGTTTAGAGTTTAGGGTTTAGGCTTTAGGGTTTAGGCTTGAGGGTTGAGGGTTGAGCGTTGAGGGCTGTGGGTTGAGGGTTGAGGGTTCAGGGTTTGGGTGCCGGGTTCCGGGTTTAGGGCTGGGTGTTATGCTCGGAGGTTCATGGGCGCTTATCACCCCAAGTATAAGTCCACTTACAACCCACTTCGGAAACTTAGGGCGCCTACAGCTATGTCGGAGCCCAGACCCCTGAGATCCCGCCCCTAGATCTCTGCTAAGGCACTCGACAACAGACAGCAAGCAGCCAAGTTCAGGCTTCGAGGGGTTGTGGGGTCTTGGAAGCTGGGGTTTAGGGTTTAGGTTTTAGGTTTTAGGGTCCTCCCTAGACGCCCAAACCGTCCGGCAAAAATGACTTTACTCAGGAGGTCCCCACGTAAGCAGGAAGAGCATTAGGATAAAGGGGCTTAAGGTCTACCTAAACCTTAAACCCTAAACCCTAAACCCTAAACCCTAAATCCTAAACCCTAAACCCTAAGGGTTCATGGTTTAGAGACCAGACAGGGACATCCTGTGCCCTGCCTCCATGTTGGTTGCCTTGCGGATACCTTTGCCTCCGCCTCCTTCCGAGGCCTGAGGGGCTGATGGTTTCGGCTCTAGGGTTTTGGGTTTAGGGGGTTAGGGTTTAGGGTTCAGGGGGGTTAGGGTTCCCAGGAGGTCTACAGGTTTGTGCATGAGTTCACCCGTCGTTGTGAAAAAGGTCCCGGGCAAACAAGCCAAATATGCAAACACAAAGCCGTTGTGAGTACCATGACCACCTAAAAATCTCATCCCGAAACCCTAAACCCCAAGCCCCACACGCTAAACCCATGGACCCTAAACCCTAAACCCTAAACCCTAGACCCTAAAAGGGGGGGGGGGGGGGAGATTCGCAGTTTTGACCTTTTTGGGTCTCCATTTTCTATGTCGGGAATTAAGGTGGTCGAGCTCTAGAGAGTTCCAGGTACGACAATTGTAGTATTTTCTTTGAAGCCCTAAACCCTGAACCCTAAACCTGAAACCCTGAATTTCAGGTACTTAATGCATTTGGCCGAGGCTGTGGGGCTTGGCAGGGCTTTTTGTTCCCAGAAAACAACGAACGACATAGAGGGCTTATAAGCAGAAGGTTATGCATACCCTAAATCAGGGTTCAGGGTTACTTAGAAGCCCAGTTAGAACTGCCCATCAACCTTCCCAACCCTTTGGCCACGCGAAACTCCCATTCTAATTCAAGATTTAAGTGCCTTAGAATCTGGAGCAATTATGTCAGTGTCTACTGGAAGAACGCCTTCTACATCCTGGAACCCTAAACCCCCAAACCCTAAACCCTCAACCCTCAACCCTAAACCCCCCGCCTTCACCATGATGGGAAAGCCCACTTTCTCCGCGCGCTCCACACAGTCTTCCACGGTCTTGACCATGGCTTTGTTGAAAACCTCGGGTTGAGGGTTCTAGGGTTCTAGGGTTTTAGGGTTTTAGGGTTTTAGGGTTTTAGGGTTTTAGGGCCTAGGGTTTAAGTTTAGGGTTTGGGGTGTTAGGGTTTAGGGTTCTAGGGTTTCAGGCTTTAGGGTTATAGGGTTTAGGGTTTTTTGGGACCACGGCTTTGTTGAAAACCTCACGTCCGCACCCTAAAAATGATTGAGGGTGTAGGGTCTAAGGTTTCAGGGTTTCAGGGTTTAGGGTTTTAGGGTTTAGGGTGTTAGAATTCAGGGTTTCAGGGTTGTAGGGTTTAGGGTTTGAGGGCTATAGGGTTCAGGGCTTCGGGCACTGCGTGCTTGAAGTCTGCAGCTTTCCAAACGAAGCAGCATGACCTTGCATCCAACTGCGTGTCTAGGGCTCTTCAGCGTTCAAAAACCCTAGATGCGGGGTTTTTTTAACGCTAAAAATCTTAAGTCCAGCCCCCGGAACATGATCCTACAAATAAGGGGCTTAGGGTTTGGGACCTCGGAATGGCTTACGCGTAGAATATGCTGGGCAGTCGTCAAAGACCCGAAGCCCTACACCATCAACAGCGCCTTATCCGATGCCCAGGGCATGCCACCAGTGTAGTGTATGAGAACCTCACCATCATAGGTTTCCCTACCACCCCTCCTCTGAACTACCCCCCCCCCCCCCCCCCAAGGCACCCCCCTCGAACAACCATAAAACCATAAATTAGGCTTGAGTATCCCCAATAGCCTTACGTATGGGGGAACCTAGGGGGTAGCATCGAGGGGGGTAGCAGGGGAACCCATGGCACCAGTACTAGGGATCATCAGAGCACAACCAAGGGTCCTAGACTAATCAAGCTCTCACTGTCTGTTTAGGGCTTGGAGCCACTGCTTTCAGCTTCTTCCAGCTTCCTCCTACATGGGGTTGCCTGGACTCTCAGGGTATGTACGAAATTGCCCAAAGTCATAATATGTACCATTATTTTGCATACTTCGGGGGTCTAGGGAGGGTCTATTATCGGGGTCTCTTGATGGTAGACTCAACACTGGCCGCTGTTTGACTGAGACTCCCGGCATCGTCTGGCACGGTTCCTGTGCCGGGGCGTAGGAAACTTCATTACAGACTAGACCCAGGAGTAACTCAGGAAAAATAAGGGTGCTGTTTTTTTGCTGTAAAGCGCCTCATAGGGAAACCTAAGCCATGAAAAAAAGTGAATAAGAGCCGACTGTGGATCCTAGCAGATTCTTCGCAAAGATCGCAAAGAACCTCATCTCCCATGCACCGAATTCCCTCGGTTTAGGGTTTAGGGTTTAGGGTCTAGGTCCCAAGAACCAGTAGAGAACAAAAAGTAGGTCACCAAGGGCCAGAGGGGTTGGATCAGGGCTTAGGGTCCAGGGGTTTTCAAGGGATGAAGACTCGTACCCCTGAGGATGTACCCCTAAGAGGTACCCTTGATATGTTCCTTATCTGGCCCTTACACTACCTTAGGAATCTGTATATAAGGGTCCCCAAGCCCAAGGGTACCGCCTTAGGGAACACGATGAGGTTTAGGGTGCATAGAGGTCCCTGTAGCTGTACGGAAGGCCTCTGGTTTTTGCATACTTCAGGATCACAATGGCACCGAACTCTACAAACAGCGTGTATGAGACCTGTAACCGTAACCCCTACAAACGCACAAACCCTCTACACACCCCTGAGACCTGAAAACTCATAAACCCGATGGTACCTGCAGGCCGCCTAAAGCTTGGAAGCCCTACTAAACTACCAAACATGCTCATGAATACCCTAAACCTTAAGCCCCTAAATCCTAAACCCTAGGCCCGAAACTACAGTGTCACAAGATTCTGTACGCCCCTGAACCCTAAGACCCTAAGACACGTTAAAACCGCCTAAACCCCGAAATCCTAAATTCAAAGTCCCGAAACAACCCTAAACCCTAAACCCTAAACCCCAAACCCCAAACCCGACACCTTAAGCCCTAAACCCTAAACCCTAAACCCTAAACCCTAAACCCTAAACCCTAAACCCTAAACCCTAAACCCTGAGATGAGCCCTCATCTCCGGCTGCCTTCCGCAGTTAGTTGGCACGTCAGGCCGTCGCCACTCCATGGGATGCTTGGCACCTGGAGGAGAGATTGGGGTTTAGGGTTTAGGGTTTAGGGTTTAGGGTTTGGGGTTTAGGGTTTAGGGTTTAGGGTTTGGGGTTTGGGGTTTAGGGTTTAGGGATGCTTAGGGCTTATAAGGTTTAGGGTTTCGGGCTTGAGGCTTGGGGCTTAGGGTCTGGGGTTTGGGGTTGGGGGTCGTTGGGGTTGGGGGTTTTGGTCATGGTTCGCGAGGAGCGCAATCCTGTAGTCACAAGGACAGCACACGACTAAGGTACGCTTCTTTCTTATTAAAGGGAATGGCGGGAGGCGAGTCTATGATGTAGTGGACAGGGTTTCGAAGGAGGCTCCAGGGGAGGGTGTACAGATTTTCTTGGGCGGTGTGCAGCGGATAGAGATGAGATGTGGTGCATTTAGGGTTCAGGGCTCAGGGTTGTGGGTGCAGGGTCAGTTTAGGGTGTACAGGGTTGAGGGAGGTGGGGCTCGGGATTTAATACAAGGGTCCTGGACATTCAAAGCTCTTCACTAAGGTTTAGTTTTCAAGGTTAGGGTATAGGATTTATACGTAGCTTGTAGAAGGCATCAGGAGTTTAGACCCAGTTCTTTCAGAAAGGGTTTCTTACGTTGGCCGAGTTTCCTGGAGGAGAAGGTAACTTACCGGCAGAGCACCGAAAGTTTCCGGCGGTGTACACAACAGTTCATGTTGCAGAACATGTTTCTGAAGGCTTATGGGTTGAGTACAGCTCACTCGAATACCCTCTATGCATCCCATCTCAACGGCAGTGCGGCAGCAATCATGGAGGACTCCGGCCAGCCTGTGAACCCTAAGCCTGAACCTAAACTTTTAAACCCTTGTTCAATGAACAAGAACGACAATGCGGGTACAGGTAGAGCCATCGTCTAAAGATTCCACGCTTGGGAGTTCAGAGTTTTCGGGCTTTGGATGTCGTTTAGGGCTGGTGTTGATGCAAAAAACTCAAATTGCACCCTAACCCCCAAACCCTAGACTCTAGACTCTGGACCCTGAACCCTAAACCCTAAACCCTAAACCCTTAACCCTTAACCCTAAACCCTAAACCCTAAACCCTAAACCCTACCCCCCCCCCCCCCCCCCCCCCCCCCCCCCCCCACCCCAGCCCATATCAGCAAGCTGCCCAAAATCGGCCTTGCCTTGGCTGTCTGCGCCAAGATGTTGGCTGCAATTTTGTCTCCGAGCCTGCCGGGATCGGTTTTTGTCTGGCAGACCCTAAACCATAACACTATAACCCTATAACCCTATAACCCTATGACCCTCTAACCCTGTAACCCTATGACCCCATAACCCGATGCCCCCTGAGGCCGATGCACAAAAAAGAGTCCTGCCCAAGTATCTGGTGGGGTTGATGAAATGTCCCATCCTTTTTAGAGATACCCTGCTTTGCACCACTACTAGGATCAAACTCGATGTAGCCCAAACCCAAACCCTAAACCCGACCCCCAAAACCCTAAACCTTCCAAGAAAACCACATGGTGTTCTACTGGCTGTCTCGCACACAAGGCAGATTGACCTGTTTTGAAGACAGGGAGAGAACCGAACTGGGGGGGAGAATCTGGCCTCTGGGTTTAGGGTTTAGGGTTTGGGGTTCAGGAGGGAACCCTACAACTTGAGCGATCTTTCTGTCATGCCGAGATCCACGCGCAGCCATCACACCCGAAGGCGGGCCGATGAAGGTGATGCCAAGCTCCTGAGGGTTTAGGGTTTAGGGTTTAGGGTTCAGGGTTTATGGTTTAGGGCTTATAAGGGTTTACGGTTTGCTCGCATAGACTTGCCCCCGCTCGCCTTAGATGCTGCCACTGCTGAGACTCTCTGTGTGCAGGTGGAAAGACAAAGAACCCTAAGCGCCAATCTCTAAACCCTAAACCCCAAACCCTACACCCTAAACCCTGGGAGTGAAGTGGTCTTTTGCTCTGGCCATTTCTTGTTTTGGGTTTGGGCCGGCTTGGCTTCGGGTAGTTGAAGAGAACAGCCTACCGCAACAAAACCTTATGGCAGGGCAAGCCCAGCATTCTAATCTAGAGTAACCTACTGCATACTGCCTCATGCAAAAGGGTGAGAGCGTAGTGTCCGCCCAAAACGCAAAGATCTAGCCTGAGTACCTGATATACATTTCACAAAAAAACATCTCCACTTAACTACATACTCTACGCTGTATGCCCACCCTGGGTTGGAGAGTCCTGCACCCTACAACCGCGGCCGTCAGTTTGTAACTTCCTGCACCTGCGCCACGCGCGGCCTCAACATTCCAACCTACAGAAAACGCTTAGGTGGTTCTTAACATGTATCCAACACCCTAAGGGCTCTGAGGACTCTTATTTCAGGGTCTTTGAGCCCTAAGGCCTTCTTAAGTAAGGATGTTGGGGCCACTTCGAGCCTAAGCGAAACGCGTGTCAAGTGGAAAGTTGAGGTCAAACTCTTGGACTCTTGGAAGCCAAGTCAAGTAAGGCATACTTGGTGAAGCCTCATCTGGGCCTTCTTCCAGTTGGGGGGGATAAACGCGTGAATGAAAATGAGGGCCGGTACCCTCAACCCGAGACCCGAAACCCTAAACCAGTCCCGCATGGATCCGTCCTTGAGCTTCGCTGGCAGCTTGGGGTTCTCGCTCGCATGCCTCAGCACGCGAACCCCAAAAATCTGCCTCTTTTGTAGGTCCGGGCTGAATTGGGGTGCAGGGTTTAGGGTTTCAGGATTAGTTGGCTGGAAGTACAAGGGGTAGCCCACTGTCTGTTTAGAGGGGTTTGCAAGGGAACCTAACCATAAAAAAACAAAAAGAACACGGGCCCACTCTGGGTCCTTGTGCGAAGATTCTAGGCCTGTTACCCAAGCCCCAAATCCTCAGGAGGGTTATGAGAAGGGCTTGTTTGCTACACAGGGCTGGGGCTTACAGGACTTTAGTGGTTCATGGGTATGTTAAGTGGTTTCGGGCAGCCCTAAACTAACCCCAAACCCTACCCATGAGCCCTCCAGTAGCGTTCTGTTTGAAGCAGAAAAGCAGTTCCACAGGCAGGTTAAGTCCGATCCCATCTGATTCTCCCGATGCTGCAGGGATTCTGGAATCCTTCATCTAGAATAGGGGATCCGAAGTATTGGCCCTTAATTTGGGCCCCCTGTTGTATAACCCTTACATACACTTGCATAATAAGGGCCCCCGTACTTCGGACCCCTTTAAATCCTTTAAACAAGGGTATACAAAACCATCCCAAGGGTGCATGGTTCCAACCTTAGATATAAGGAGCTGATAAGTTTAGGGCTTTGGGGGGTTTGCAGGGTTTCATCGGGTGCTCAAGCCCGCATCACCCTGAATTCTAAACTCTTAGGGTAGTTACATGGTCCCTTCCTGTGGGCCCTTGAAAGGGGACCCCTTGTATACCCTCTTTATACCCTTCAACACCCGAGAGTCCATACTTCAGAGCTCTTTACAGGAGGTAAGGGACCATATTGAGGGATCATGTAACTACCCTAGCCCTAAACCCTAGCCCTAAACCCTAAACCCGAAACCCTGAACCCTGAACCCTGAACCCAACGCCGGCAATTTTTTCCGCCAAGCGCGTGTCACGCTCGTGGGCTTTTGAGCCCAGGTGACTGGCACCCGAATCCAGCATGAACAGTTTAGCTGCATGGGGGGGTTTGACCCTCAACCTGAGACCCTAATCCCTAAGGGTTCAGTAAGGATCAGTAAGGGTTTAGGGCATAGAGTTTGGGGTTCGGCAGTTGGGCGTTTGGGTCGTGCGTTGTGAAGCTGAGGACCCTGAGGACTCAACACTCAGCCCTACACCCTGCAGTCCGAAACCCTGAAGTCCGAAACCCTAAACCCTAAACCCTACACCCTAAACCCTAAACCCTAAACCCTAGACCCTAAACCGTGCCGTCATCCAAGAGGAGCTGATCCTCGAGCCAACTGCACGGATCTTCCATGGAGCAGACATCCTCCCTCCTTGCGGACTGTTTAGGGCTTAGGGGTCAGGGTTAGGGTTTAGGGTTTAGGGTTTAGGGTTTAGGGTTTAGGGTTTAGGGTTTAGGGTTTAGGGTTTAGGGTTTAGGGTTTAGGGTTTAGGGTTAAGGGTTTAGGGGTTAGGGGTTAGGGGTTAGCAAGAGATCGCAAGGTTGTAGGTTTGAGGCATCAGAGAGAATTTGGGACCCCCAACACCCTAAACCTTAAACCCTAAAAACCCTAAACCCTGCGCTTGGGGTTCGGAAGGCGCTGAAGTTGGGACTCCGGCAGCTTGTGGAGCTTGCCTTTAGACTGGGTTTAGGGTTTTGGGTTTAGGCTTTAGGGTTTAGGGTTTAGGGCTCTTGAGGCAAGACATGCCCAGAAACAAAGTCAGGAGTCCAGGGCAGCTTTAGCTTCCAGGCGTGCAGGTACATGCGGTAGCTGCCGCCTTCCGAGAAGGTGGTGCGGAGGCTTAATTTAGGGGGCGGGAGGGGGGGAGGAGGGGGGTAGGGTTCAGGGTTCAGGGTTCAGGGTTTAGGGTTCAGGGTTTAGGGTTTAGGGTTCTGGTTTCGGGTTTAGGGGTTGAGGGCTTGCAAGTTTGGGCGGGGGTGGGGACCTGTCGCGATCTCGCAATGGGGCTCCTCTCTACCCTAAACGCAAAACCCAAACCCTATTCCTATCCCGAACTACAGGGTTTGGGGCTTAGGGTTCCAGGCATTGAGAGGGTTTGGGTTGAGCGTGGCTGATATCCCGTGGGTCCGAAAACCGAGAGCCCAAAGCCCTGCCCAACACCTCGAACCACAGCATAACAAACTCCTGGTCTACGTCGGGGTTTACTTGGAGGTTCATGGTACTTATTGACCAATTATAACTGTACTTACAACTGTACTGACAACCATATTTGGACACTTAAGGGGCTTATGAGTGGGGTTATAAGCACAGCTATAGTTGGTGAATTCGTACAGCTAGAATTGGTTAATCAGTACAGTTCTATGTACAGATATAATTGGTTAATAAGTACCATGAACCTCCAAGTAGGGTTAGGGTTCAGGTCTTGGTACGGGATACCTTCGACAGAGGCCCCTGGTGAGTCTTTTAAGTGTAAGCAAAGGGATCTTTAAGGAGTCCCCAGCGTGATATAGGTGTCGCAAATAGTTACTTATGGTATTCCCTCATGGTGCCTATATAAATATACTATAAAATGCACCCAAACCCTATTCGAATTATTACGGCCACGAAAGTACTTACACTGAAAACCCTATATAAACAGTTAAGACCTAAACCCCAAGAGCCTCGCACGCCCCACGGCTGGCCCCCGTAGGAGTCATCGCCCAGCACCTCGGAAGGATTTCAATTCGTGGTTGAAGTTTGGGAGCCTCTATAGTTTACAGGTTTTGGGATTCTAGAAAAGCCCAACAGGCACAAACTCGCAAATAACCCGCCATCATCCTCTCAAAACAACCTGAAGGTTTGGGGCTTGGGGTTTAGGCTTTAGGGTTTAGGGTATAGCAGCGAATCCGAAAGAAGGCCCGAACAATATGTGTGTGGATGTGCTGCCAGAAGATCCTGACGCACCCGGAGACCTACACCATCCTACTAAACCGTGAACCACAGAAAACCCTGCAACGCCCAGCTCCCCTAAACCCTAAACCCTAAACCCTGAACCCTAAACCCTAAACCCTAAACCCTAAACCCTAAAGCCTAAAGCCTAAACCCTAAACCCTAAACCCTAAACCCTAAACCCTAAACCCTAAGCCCTAAACCCTACCCCCAAGTTCCTCATATCCCTGGGAGCCAGGAGGCAGGATGCCCAGCAGCTGCCAAGTGAACGCGAATCTGGTGTCGGCGGCCCGTCTTCGGCCGGACCTACGGCCGGGCCATCGGAAGAAGGAGATCTGAAAAAAAAAGACCTAAACCCCAAACCCTAAACCCTAAACCCTGAACCCTGAACCCTGAACCCTAAACCCTAAACCCTAAACCCTAAACCCTAAACCCTAAACCTTAAACCCTAAACCCTAAACCCTAAACCCTAAACCCTAAACCTTGCTTCTAGTAAGAAGGCAGCGCCTCGACCAGGGAAGCGGGCAACCGCTCCCTCTGCAGTTCCGCACCGCCACCCTCTCCTTGAAAGGGCTTTTGGATGGCTAGGGTTCAGGGTTTAGGGTTTAGGGTTTAGGGTTTAGGGTTTAGGGTTTAGGGTTTAGGGTTTAGGGTTTAGGGTTTAGGGTTTAGGGTTTAGGGTTTAGGGTTTAGGGTTTAGGGTTTAGGGTTTAGGGTTTAGGTTCAGCATCTCATGTTCGAGCATTTACTAGGCCAGCAGTGTGTGTAGGCAACAGAAAAAAACCCACCCACCCAGAGAATCCCAAAACATTAAGAAAATAAAAAGTTTACATTTCTCATCAGCAAGCCCTGTCCTCCAACCTCACTCTGTCATGGACCATCCTACCCACGAACCATTTCATCGGCCCCCATAGAGGGGCGGGACTTGAAATCCTGAAACCAATGAAGGCTCGGTTTTGGTCAAAAATCCAGAAAACGAGAGGCCACCCAGAACCGTCGATTTCAGTACTAAAAAATCGCATTTTTAACTGGGACCCGGGCCGATCCTGGGGTCCCCCTCATTTGGGGTGTTTTTGGAGGCAAACTTTCCCTCTCAAGGGGGGGTCGGAGTTTGAGCCAAGGCCGCGCGCGGGCCAGGACAAGGCCAGACCCTTGAGTGCCCAACAGGGCCGGTCAATCTGGAAGGGCCAAAACCAAGGCCAAGGCCAGGACAAGGCCAGACCCTTGAGTGCCCAACAGGGCCGGTCAATCTGGAAGGGCCAAAACCAAGGCCAAGGCCGCCCGCGCGCGGGCCAGGACAAGGCCAGACCCTTGAGTGCCCAACAGGGCCGGTCAATCTGGAAGGGCCAAAACCAAGGCCAAGGCCGCCCGCGCGCGGGCCAGGACAAGGCCAGACCCTTGAGTGCCCAACAGGGCCGGTCAATCTGGAAGGGCCAAAACCAAGGCCAAGGCCGCCCGCGCGCGGGCCAGGACAAGGCCAGACCCTTGAGTGCCCAACAGGGCCGGTCAATCTGGAAGAGCCAAAACCAAGGCCAAGGCCGCCCGCGCGCGGGCCAGGACAAGGCCAGACCCTTGAGTGCCCAACAGGGCCGGTCAATCTGGAAGGGCCAAAACCAAGGCCAAGGCCGCCCGCGCGCGGGCCAGGACAAGGCCAGACCCTTGAGTGCCCAACAGGGCCGGTCAATCTGGAAGGGCCAAAACCAAGGCCAAGGCCGCCCGCGCGCGGGCCAGGACAAGGCCAGACCCTTGAGTGCCCAACAGGGCCAGTCAATCTGGAAGGGTTAGCCCAGGGCCAGTGACCAACAGGGCCGGTCAATTTGCTGACTATAGGGTTTAAATATATATAGGTAAGAGAGGTTTAGGGTTTAGGGTTTAGGATTTAGGGTTTAGGGTTTAGGGCTTAGGTTAGTATAAGCAAAAGAGGAGCAAAGGGCACCAGAATCGGAGTCCCAGTCTCCGCAGCCTCCATAGCCGGCCTCCCAGGGATGCCGGGGCCAGAGGCCCCTCTGGAGTACGCGCACCTTGGGGCTTGGGTTTAGGGTTTAGGGTTTAGGGTTTAGGGTTTAGGGTTTAGGGTTTAGGGTTTAGGGTTTAGGGTTTAGGGTTTAGGGTTTCGGGCTTAGGGTTGAGGGTTGAGGTTCGAGGGTTTAGGTTTCGGGTTTTAGGGGTTTAGGTTTCGGGTTTCGGGTTTAGGAGGTTATACTTACAGCCAACCGTTTTCAGGTTCCCTACTTACGCCAAGAAAAACCTATATAGGAGTAGACGAAGGGCTAAGTAAGCCTTTCCTGTTACAGCGTGCCCTGATGATGCCGCATGCCGGGCCTTCTTGGTTTTGGAGGGCACGCAGAGTTCATTCAAAGAGCCGAAACCCTAAACCCTGAAACGGGCTCTGGATTTCGTCGTTTGAAGAGCCCTAACCTTTCAACGGCCACCCCATGTTCCGAGCCAGTTCTTCAAACCCTAAACCCGAAACCCTAAACCCTAAATCTAAAGAACTGAAGATACCATCGAAGGCCCGAGGTACGAACGTCTCGGCCTTCTCCGTCACCCGCCCATTGAGCTCCTCTAATGCCGGGCTCACGGCCTTTCTCGCAAAGCCCTTTGTGTCCACAATGCGGTAGTCCAGCACCGCACCTGGGGTGTGGGACTTGCGAGGGTTTAGGGTTTTTAGGGTTCAGGGTTTGTAGGGTTTCCGGGTTTCAGGACTTGGTGCGGATCTTGGGGAAACTGGGCGGCGGGGGTGGGGGGGGGTTATCTTGCAAGAATTCGTCATTGAGACACTTGGTGGGACCTCCCTGACACTCTAAGCCTCTAAGCCCTAAACCACTCCACGTCATCCCTAATTATGCATGAACCCCACGCCACTTGTCCAAGGCTTGAAAGGGTTACCTTACTACAGACGCTTCACTTTTGGCTCCTTGTTGCCGGTACCTGGTTATGTTACGACTCATATCAGAGACACGAAGGTACTTCCCTAAACCCTAAACCCTAAACCCTAAACCCTAAACCCTAAACCCTAAACCCTAAACCGTTCTTAACAAGGTGCAGGGTGGCAGGGCTCAGGGCTCAATGCTCAGGAAGTCGACTCAAGGCATGGCTATCTCCAGCAGCCTAAAACCCTCTGAAAATTCCAGCGTCGCCCCAAAATCGCTCAAAAAAAACATCTCTGGAACCGGCAACCCTATAAACCCCCAACAAACGAAGCCACACCTATCCCGAGGCCTCTATGGGCTCTTTTTAGGGTTTTTTGGGCCCAAAGGCCTTCTTGTGCAGGGTGTTTGGGGCTAGTTTGAGCCTCCGGGCATATGCCAAGGCACCCCTGTCCCAGCTAGCAGGGGGATGGCCCAAGACCTCGCCGGGGGTTTAGGGCTTAGGGACCCTAAACCCTAAACACTAAACCCCAAACCCGAAACCCTAAACCCTAAACCCCAAACCAACCCATTTGCGGAAAGCCTCCCGGTCTTGTCAGAGAACTTGCCAGGGGTCCATTGCACAAATATGGTTTCACCCTAAACCCGAAACGCTAAACCCTAAACCCTAAACCCTAAACTTGCCTAAGGGTCCATTGCACAGATATGGTTTCACCCTAAACCCTAAACCCTAAACCCTAAACCCTAAACCCTGAACCCTAAACCCTAAACCCTAAACCCTAAACCCTGAACCCTAAACTTGCCTAAGGGTCCATTGCACAGATATGGTTTCACCCTAAACCCTAAACCCTAAACCCTAAACCCTAAACCCTAAACCCTAAACCCTAAACCCTAAACCCTAAACCCTAAACCCTGGAACCCTAAACTTGCCTAAGGGTCCATTGCACAGATATGGTTTCACCCTAAACCCTAAACCCTAAACCCTAAACCCTGAACCCTAAACTTGCCTAAGGGTCCATTGCACAGATATGGTTTCACCCTAAACCCTAAACCGTAAACCCTAAACCCTAAACCCTAAACCTTAAACCCTAAACCCTAAACCGTAAACCCTAAACCCTAAACCCTAAACCCTAAACCCTAAACCAGACCAGGGGGCCAAAGCCAAATAGGTCTTGCCAACAGAACGCTGGTGGAAGAGTCGGCAGGCCTCTCCGGCTGCCTTTGCACAGGCCCCGGCTTTGGGTTTAGTTTGGTTCAGGGTTCCTCAACCCTAAACCCTAAACCCTAAGACCTAAAACCTAAACCCTAAACCCTAAACCTAAACCCTAAACCCTAAACCCTAAACTCTAAACTCTAACCCAAAACCCTAAACCCTAGTTTGGGTTTAGGGTTGAGGGCCTGAAGGGCTGAGGGTTGGGGCTTGCAGGGCTTGCCGGGTTCATGTGGGGTTTATTACAGGGCCCGTGCGGCTGCATGGGGGCTTCGGGTTCAGACTTTAGTGTTCAGCCGTGGATTTCGACCTACCCAGCACCGAAGAATGCGGTTTAGGGTTTAGGGTTTAGGGCTTCGGGCTTAGGGACTGTCTTCAGCTTCAACTGACGACCTCTTGGCCCGAAGGTCAGTGTTTGGAGCTTAGGGGTGTTATGGGTGTTGAGGGGTTTTCGGGTCTGGGGTTGCACCCTCAACCCTCAACCCTCAACCCTCAACCCTCAACCCTCAACCCTAAACCCTAAACCCTAAACCCTAAAACCTAAAACCTAAAACCCTAAACCCTGATGAAGTGCAAGCCATGAGAGGCCTCGCGGCTTCTGGCCACCAGCATGAGGCCGCTGGTGGCGAAGTCGAGGCGGTTGCCTCAGGAATCCTATCCTTGGGTTTAGGGTTTAGGGTTTAGGGTTTAGGGTTCGGGGTTCGGGGTTTGGGGTTTGGCAGGGTTTGGCGACCTGGGGTCTGGGGTCTGGGGTTTGGGGTTTAGGGTTTAGGGTTTGGGGTTTGGGCCTAAACCCTAAACCCTATAACCCTGGTCCGCAGACCGGTGGCACATCCGCGGACGCTGCCCAACATACAGCTGCTGCAGGCGGTCGTGGGCTGTGAGCTCCTCAGGCCAGGCCCTGTACCTCTTCAAGGTCTTTAGGGTTTAGTTAGGGTTTAGGGTTTAGGGCTTGGGATTTAAGGTTTAGGGTGTAGGAGTGAGGGTCTAGGGTTTAAAACCCCTCAAACCCGCAACCCTCAACCCGCAACCCTAAAACCCTAAACCCTAAGCCCTAAACCCTAAACCCCAATCCCTAAACCCTAAACCCTACAAAGAACCAGCGAAAGTCGAAGCCGAAGACCGCCTGGCGCCGTTCTTCCGCGCGAGGTAGGCGCGCATGCCCCACGGCTTGTGGATGGCCAGCAAGTCATCTTGTTCCCACAAGACCTGGTGGGCTTTGGGGTTTAGGGTTTGGGGTCTTAGGGTTGGGATGTTCTCCCTATACTAACGGTCCTTAATAGGGACTACAATAAGCGGTACTTTCATCCTTTCTAAGGACTGGTAGTACAAGGGCTGAACATCCCAAGTTTACGGTGCTTTGGGCTTAGCTCTTACCGACTGAGTTTTTTGGAAGGTTCACATTTGGGGTTTCAAGGGGGTCTATAACACCACTCCCCAAGCTTACTGTTTGTTAGCAGGGAATGAGGGAATGAGGGCCCTACATATATATATATATATGTAGAATATAATGTACTCTTCAAGGGATTATGTAGGGTGCCTCATTCCCTCATTCCCTGCTAACCAACGGTAAGACGAGAAGGTTGCAAGCCGCAGATCGACGGTAATCAAGTTTGTTGGGATGTCCCTAAACCCTCAACCCTGAACCCTAAACCCTAACCCTAAACCCCTAGGGCTGAGGGTTTCGGGTTGAGGGTTTAGGGTTAGGGTGCAGGTGTGAAGGCCCTGCTGCGGGCTCATGTGCACTCCCCTCCCCCTGAAGCACCAGGAACTCATTGCTTTGGGTAAAGGGGTAAAGCCCATCATCGCGGGCCACGCCCCCTAAGAAGGGCCTCACAGCTTGTGTGGTTTGGGGTTTCGGGCCGTAAGGACTGCTAAGTTCTTGAGCTGCTTCAGGGTTTAGGGTTTAGGGTTTAGGGTTCAGGGTTTAGGGAGTCCTGTCACCTCAGCCTTGGACGTGTAGAAGATGCCATTGGAGAGTTGTCCGGGGGGGGGGGGGTCACCACGCCCGAGCCCCCCCGTACCCTGACCCCTGCACAACATTGAAACGCCCAGAATCGAGCTGCCGACACTTTCGGGTTTAGGGCATACCTTAAGGACTCAATGAACCCTCAAGATGGTATCATATACCCTCTACTACCCGCAATCCCCGTCTAGAAAGTATAGAGCAGGGAACCTCAGCAATCCTATACTCCCCTTAGAACCTGAATAGAAAGAATATTTCTAGTATCCTCTTGGGCTTTATATGAACAAAAAATAATTCCCAAAGAGGGATATAGAATCTTGCCCGGCCTGCGCGCGGTAGTCCAGCAGGACTTCCGGAAAGCGAGCGCAGAGCTCCGTGAAGCTCACGGAGCTCATGGCCCCCTCGCGGTGGAAGTAGCGCAGCTGCGCCAGCCGAGCCTGGCAGGGGCGACCCTGAAGCCCTTGAGGGTTTAGGGTTTGGGGTTTAGGGTGAAGCCCACACCTTATCGAGCGCTTTAGAAGCCTTAAATCCGACTCCCAACATCTTGGGCCCCCAAGTTTTACGCCCTAAACCTCTTTATAGGGTTTAGGATTTAGGGTTTAGGGTTTAGGGTATGGGCTTTAGTGTTTGATGTAAACACCCCGTCTAGGCCCAAGAGGAATCTAGGAATAAGCAGGGTGCCCTGTTGCGATTTCGGCTCCAGGGTTGGCTTGTTTCGGGAGCCTAAGCCCTAAAACAAGGAATAAGGGCGGATTAGGGTTTAGGGTTTAGGGTGTAGGGTTTAGGGTTCGCATCCTAACTATACAAGCCCTAGGACCCACGAGCGCCTGGCCTTCTGAGGTGTATGCTGAAAATGTGCAACTCCTTATGAGACTTCGCGAGTCTCCCGCAAAAGACAACAGCATGTATATTATAAGAACCGATTTTCATCCTCGAAGCTCGCAAACCCCGCACCCCCCTAAATCCCTAAGCCCACTACACTCTGAACACTAAACGACCTACACCCTGAACCCCTAAAGCCTAAACTTATAAACCCTAAACCCTAAACCCCAAATCCCAATCCCTAAACTCTAAACCCTAAACCCCAATCCCTAAACCCTAAACCCTAAACCCTAAACCCTAAACCCTAAACCCTGGAGCCTCGGCATCCTCCAAGACGCGCTCCTCGTCCACTCTGGGCCACAGCCGCGTCAGGCCCTGAGGGATAGCGGGCGGGTGCAGGGTTTCGGGTTTAGGGTGTAGGGTGTAGGGTTTAGGGTTTAGGGTGTAGGGTTTAGGGTTTAGGGCTTAGGGTTTAGGGTTTAGGGTTTAGAGTTTAGAGTGCAGAGTTTAGGGTTTAGGGTGCAGGGTTTAGGGTGTTAGGGTGTTAGGGTGTTCGGGTGTTAGGGTTTAGGGTTTAGGGTTCGAGGTTTAGGGTTTGGGGTCTAGGGTTTAGGGTTAGGGCTTTTTGGGCCTGTGGGATTTTCAGGGCTTATGGGGCTTAAAACGGTTTACAGTGCATGCGGAGTTTGCAGGGCTTATGGGGCTTATCGGGTGTTTAGGTTTAGGGCCCCTCACCAATCCCTTTGACACCTTCTCTGAATCCAAGGCTGTCAAAAAGAGGCGCATAACATAAACCCCGGACTCGCAAAACCCAAAAATCTGAACCGGAAATCCCGGAGCGCCTCCACTCTACACCCTAAACCACCTCCCTAAACCATCTAAACCCTAAACACTAAACCCCAAACCCTAAACTCCTGAACCCCTGAAGCCCTAAAGCCCTCAAGCCCCTGAAGGCCTCCACCCTTAGCCCTGCGCCTCTTGCAGTATGTCCAGGCCGTAGCTGTTAATGCGGCAACCCCAGGAAACGCAGGCGTTCTCCACCTGAAGTTTAGGGTTTAGGGTTTAGGGTTGAGGGTTTAGGGTTGAGGGCTTACGGCCTATAGGGCTTCGGGCTTTCTTGGGGCTTTTTAGGGCTCTTTAGGGCCTTTACGGCCGTTGAAGGGCTTTTTAGGGCTTCTTTAAGGGCCGCTGAGGGCTTTATGTGGTTCTCGGGTTTAGGGATGCAGATGACCCCTGGGTTACTAAGGGCTAGGGAAAGGACTTAGAAATCGGGCGATGGGGCTCAAAAGGGGTATACGACAGCTAGCAACCCCCTAGGATCCAACATAACCCTTAACCCTAAACCCTAAACCCTTAACCCTAAACCCTAAACCCTAAACCCTAAGCCCTAAGCCCTAAACCCTACACCCTAAACCCTAAACCCTGTTTGTTCTGGGCCCAGGTTTAGGGGCTAGGCTCCATAGGGCTTCGGCTCTAGGACTTCTTCGGGCTTTCTAGGTTCATGGGGATTAGGGTTTAGGGTTTAGGGTTTAGGGTTAGGGTTTAGGGTTTAGGGTTCTAGAAACCCACGTGAGAACACAGCTCACCTGTGCAGAAAGGGTTTGGGGGTGTAGGGGTTGGACTTCTTGGACCATGGTCTTCAGACGCTTGTGGTTTGAGACTCTGGGAGTGCTCTAGTCTTTACATCCACCTTAAAGGACTGTGCCATGTATTGAGTTTGCAGCTCCTTCTTGAGGCCCCTGCACCCTAAACCCTAGAACCCTACAACTTCAAAACCCTAAAACCCCTAAAACCCTAAACCTTAAACCCTATAGACCCTAAAACCCTAGACCCTGAAACTTTACACTACACCCTAAACCAGGCCTTTGTCATGACCATTGACATCTTCGTGGCTGCACCATGCGCAGACGGACGCGAGTGGCGGGGCACACGACCTCCGAAGTGCCACCGTTTAGGATTTAGGGTTAGGGTTTAGGCTTTAGGGTTCGGGGTTCGGGGTTTGGGGTTTGGGGTTTAGGGTTGTAGGGCCAGTTCCATAATTTGTGGGCCCCTTTCTGTGGGTTTCCTCAGCAATTAGAACGGGCACGTCTTGGTACGGATGCTAACTAACAGAAGCCACCTCTGCCCAAAGTAGGGCCAGAATCCTCATTAAACCCAAAAAGCCCCAAACCCAGCACTTTCGGTCTAAGGTTACTAGGCTGCCCAGTAACCAAGGCTTAAAAGGGTGCCCTTTTTTGCTTAAAGGGGTTTATAAGGGAACCTAAACCCCCCAAAAGGGAATAAGGGTCCTACTGGGCATCCTAGGTTAGGGTTTTGGGGCCCTAGAAACTTCAATGGCTCTGGGATTTATGGTCCATCAATCTCGAGACCGGCGCACCTCCTGGTCGAGTGGTGCCTCGACGGTGAAGTATGTTCAGACAGCAGGGATACCTGAGCTGCTTGGTTAGGAATCTTCAGTCAACTTGCCAGAAAAGTTCGAGGGTTTAGGGCTGCGGGCTTTAGATGTTATTAGCAACGTAAAACAAATGGCTTCCCATACCATCGAGATGTAAAGTGTAAGTTCATTAGCAGCAGACCAGATACAGGCCTGCCAAGCCCAGCGCAACGCAAGCGATGCGCCTGACGCGGCCCATGGCCAATGTCAACGGCCGCTGGCTGCAGGGACGGCGGAGCGGGGGGGTGGCTTCCCCTTCTGAAGACAGCTGAGGGAAAAAGCTCAGGAACAGGGTTTAGGGTTTACGGTTTAGGGTTTCGGGTTTAGAGTTTGGTACGTTCTGCGTACACGGGAGGGGAAAGGCATAGAGATGCACTTGGGGCTTCGTGCTCTGCAGGATCGAGCTGATGCAACGCAAAAACTGCTGCCGGAGAGCAATCCCAAGCCTTGACACCCTTCGCATCCCTAAGCATCACTAGGCACTCAGGGCGAGGAGTTCCTCGAATTCCTCGACTCTGAGACCTCCCTCGCATAAGGTTTAGGGTTTAGGGTTTGGATTTATGGTTTAGGGTTTAGGGTTAGGGTTTAGGGTTTAGGGTTTAGGGTTTAGGGTTTAGGGTTTAGGGTTTAGGGTTTAGGGTTTAGGGTTTAGGGTTTAGGGTTTAGGGTTTAGGGTTTAGGGTTTAGGGTTTAGGGCGTCTCGCCGCGCAGCGGCAGTAAGTAGCATGTGTAAATGGCGCCCCTACACACCCAGGGGGTGTGGGGGGGCGGCATGTCACGCGAAGGCATCTGTTTTGAATGTAATCCAACAATTTCATTGGTGCTGGGTTCTTTCTCCCCACCCGCTGTGAGCTTTCACAGGCCACCACCCAAACCACTACCTTTTAGGGTTTAGGGCTGTCGCCCTCAATTCCCACCATGGAAAACGATTCAAATCTCGATGAAACGGAACATTTGTGGAGGGCAGAGGGGGTCAGGGAAGCCCGGGGGGGGCGGCGGCCAGGGGCAGCGAAAAAGGAGGGGCTTGGGAGGGCCAGGGGGTCAGGGGCCAGGCGGACCGGGGCCAGGGGTCACAGACCAGGAAAGGGGTCGGGCGGGGGGGTCAGGAGGGGCCAGGGGGGGGGGGCCAGGGGGCCAGGGGAGGCCAGGGGGGGGCCAGGGGGGGGCCAGGGGAGGCCAGAAAGGGCGGGGGGGGGGGCTGTCAAAATCGGGTTTTTTTGGCTCCGGAGGGGGTCCCCCCATGGCGGACACCGGATTTCAGCATTTTCGGGTCGGGGTCCAGGGGCCTCCAGAGGGGGGGGCCCAGGGGCTCCAGGGTGGTGGACTTTTGAGGGCTCGGGTTCTGGGTTTATTCTCATCAAGAGGAGGATCAGAGGATTATTGTGTAAATATGGGCGCCACTCTGGTGGCCTAATGGCAAGGCGAGCCCGAGGGGCTCTCTATTCGACCATTCTCCAATGGCTCCACCCATTGTTTATCCAGTCAAGGTGTTCATCACTGCCGGATATCTTCTGGGTCCAGGCACCCTAGAAAAGGGTGGGTACGGCCGAAGCAGGCCGGGTGGGAATTTAGGGTTTAGGGTTTAGGGTTTAGGGTTTAGGGTTTAGGTTTTAGGTTTAGGGTTTAGGGTTTAGGGTTTGGGGTTTAAGGTTTAGGGCTTAGGGTTTAGGGCTTAGGGCTTGGGGTTTAGGGTTTAGGGTAGTTTAGGGTTACACCTGTCTCTCTCTACCATACAACTGCCTGTGAATATAAGGCCCGAGACTCGGAGTCTACGCGTTTTAGGGTTTAAGGGTCTGGGGGGTTTGGGGTTTGGGGATTCAGGGTTTAGGCTTTGCTTACAGTTTCGAGGTTAGCATGGATCCAGGTTTTTCAAGAAGGAAAGGTGATGAAGCTACTCCATGTGGCCATATGAGCCGCAATCCTTGGCACCCTCAACCCACGTATAGGGTTTAGGGTTCATAAAGGGTGTGGGGGTTTAGGGTTTGTGGTTTAGGGTTTAGGGTTTAGGGTTTGGGGTTTAGGGCTTAGGGTTTAGGGTTTAGGGTTTAGGGTTTGGGGTTTAGGGTTTGGGGTTTAGGGTTTAGGGTTTGGGCAGCCACTGGAACTCAGGTGGGGGCCCCCAACCGGGCCACACGGCGTCCACCTGCTGCTCCTGCGCGATCTTGCCTCGGAGTTTTCATAGCCCTAAACCCTAAACCCTAAACCCTAAACCCTAAACCCTAAACTCTAAACCCTAAACCCTCAACTTGAGTTGAGGGCTTCTGGGGTTTAGGGGCGCAGTGGAGGGGTGGAGATTTGCAGCCGTCCTCAACACCACACCCTAAACCCTCAACCCTAAACCCCAAGACCAATAATTAACCTAAACCCCTAAACCCCAACACCAATAATTTAGCTAAACATGCTGATTCCCAAGGGCGTGTTTGAGCTGTAGCGTTGAAAGGTTGAGCTTCAGAATGTCGGAAGAAGGACCATGCTTGCACTACCGCCGGCCGTGCCCAGCTGGTACAGGGTTTAAGGCTTCGGGTGAACCAATGCGCGAGGGCCGCAAGCTCTTCCAGCGGCTCATCGTGTTGCTGCTGTCAAGCAACAGTCACAAGCCCCAGAAGAGGTCGATGGGTTGAGGGTTTAGGAGTCTGGGCCATGCAAAACAACCAACCCCCCAGAAAACCCTAGGCCGACAACAAGGTAGTGCATCTCCTTGATTTCTACATACTTGGCAGATGTTGAGGATAAGTTGCGTTAGGCACCGGCAAGTTCGACCCCAAACCCCCCGAAACCCTGAGCTGCAAATCGCAGACATTGCGAGAGGCATCGGGGTTTATAGGGTTTAGGATTTAGGGTTTAGGGGTTAGGGCCCTAAGCCCTAAACCGCTGACAACTTGCTCAGCATACGAAGGCCAGGCCCAAACCCGAGTCCATGAACCACAGGCTTATAGTTAGGGTTTAGGGTTTAGGGTTTAGGGTTTAGGGTTTAGGGTTTAGGGTTTAGGGTTTCGGGTTTCGGGTTTAGGGCGTTGAGAGTGTCAGGGTTGCAGGGATTTGGGGCCTGGGGAGTATGGGCGAAACAATTCTGCAGGGCACAAATCAGATCCACGTTGGCGTAGTTGTTGACGTTCTTGCCAGACGGCACCTGGTCACGAGGAGTCCGTCCCGGAGCACGCAGAAGCCACAATTAGAGAGTCTCGGGTTAAGGCTTTGCTTCATTGAAGCGACTTAGGCTAGGCACCCTAGCTATGGGCTATACAGGGGTCTTAGGGCCGCGGCTTAGCGTATAGATAGGGCTTTCCTAGTTCTTTGTCACGCAAGCACCTTTTTCTGCTGAGTGCTACAAGAGGTGCCAATCCTGGGCCCTTTTTGTTCGGAAGACAGCCTAAACCCTAAACCCTAAACCCAAAACCCAAAACCCTAAACCGCCCTCTCACACAGCTTCCCATATTCACCAGCTCGGCCACACACACAATGTAGAACAACCCCCATGTCGGGCTGCACCTCTGGGCTGCAGTTTTTGCAGGGGGGGGGGGGGGGGGTTCGCGTTTAGGAGGCCTTAAACCCTAAACCCCAAACCCTAAACCCTAAACTCTCAAACCCTAAACCCTAAACCCGAAACCCTAAACCCTAAACCCGAAATTTTGGGGCCTCAGAATGCTCAGCCCTTCGGTGGCCTCAACAAAAGCATCGGCCAGACGAATGAACTCGGCATTGGCGTTCAAGTCGTCCTCCCGCAGCCGCCCCAGGGTGGATGGCGGTTTAGAGTTTAGGGTTTAGGGTTTAGGGTTTAGGGCTTAGGGCTTAGAGAACTTGGGGTACCTTTTCGGGATTTCTGCCATAGAAAAGGGGTACCCCTGCGTGGGGAGAATGCCCCACGCGAGGTGGGCACCATGTCTCTTCCAAGGGCGGAAACTCGAACTCATGCGGGTGCCCATTCCTGGGTCGTAACTAAATTCCTCTCCGCAATCATCCAAACGCACAACCACTGGCCCATTCACCCGAAACCCCCAAACCCCTAAACCTGCAACCCTGAGCCCAAAACCAATAAGAATGTCGTAAATTCCCCCAGAAACCCTAAACCTGCAACCCTGAGCCCTAGAGCCATAAACCGCAACCCTGAACCCCAAACCCTAAACCCTAAACTCTAAACCGCAATTCACCTGGGTGGCCATGGCAACAAAAGTAATGATCTGCTCGGATCCGAACTCGATGAAAGTCCACCTGCCATGAGGCTCCCGGGTACCTAGGAAGAAAAAAAAAGTGGCCCCTCCCGCCCCTCCCCCCCCCCCCCAATTTCAGGAGCACTCTTACTCGTTCGATCCAGAAGCTCTGAAACCTTCCTCTGAGATTTCAGCAACCTTAAACCCTAAACCTTACAATAAAACGCGATTTTTTTGCATCCAGGACCTTGTAAACCCAAAAGCCCCAGACCCTACACTTGACCAACCTTAAGCCCAAGGTTCAAACTTTGGGGTCGCTTGGTGTAGGGACTCAAGGCCCTCAAGGCGTGCACTGAGTGCTAACACGCAAAGCTCTGGAACATCTACCAATACCCCGAGCCCAGGATCTGTGGCTTTGGGAGGGAGAGGGAGGGAGGGAGGAAGGGAGGGAGGGAGCGAGAGGGAGCGAGAGGGAGCGAGAGGGAGCGAGAGGGAGCGAGAGGGAGAGAGAGGGAGAGAGAGGGAGAGAGACGGAGAAAGAGCGAGACAAAAGGACAGAGAGAGAGACTGAAAAAAATGAGAGGATAACAAAGCAAGGAGAAAGAGAGAGAACGAAAGGTAGAGAGAGAGAGAGAGCTATGACATGCTCATACTACATGAGGCCATTGTGTGCGTGTGTGCGTAGAGGGGGGGGGGGGGGGAGGTTTAACGTTATGGGGTGTAGGGGTTTCCAGGGCCACCACAACCCGAAACCCTAAACCCTAAACCCTAAACCCTAACCCCTAAAAACCCTAAACCCTAAACCCTAAACCCTACACCCCTGCCTTCGCATGGAGAGAATTGCTTTG